CTGGCATAAGGAATACGGGCTGACTTAAGCAACCCAGGTTCAGGAGATTGAGACAAAACCCAAGGCGCTGTTGTGGATGTCAGTGCCGGCGGTCCACTTGAGGGTGTTGCTGTCGGGGCAGCTGATCACATACATCTTCTTGCCATGGGTGTTGAAGTCGAGACATCGGGCATCATTCCTGCAGTGTCGACGGTCCTTTGAAAGACCATCGCTGGGTTTCGAACAGCCAAAAGTTGATCAACTTACTGCTCCCAAAAAGGAAACGGCTCAGAAACCCTGAAAGATGGTAGTCTCGAACATGGGACTTGAGGCCAAACTTTCACCCTCGTTCCGGCTGCCTACGGGTCTCGGTGCCGATTTGCTCTTGATCAGGCGAACCAAAGGCTTGCAAAGACCAAGGCAGCCAAACCGCTCAGGCAAGAATGCGTCAGGGTTCCGTAACGGGCCTCGTTTTTGCCCCGAATCGTTTGCCCTTTTAGGTCTGTGACGACCAAACACAGAGCTTGTGCTTCGAACTGGCGCCTGCTCCTCAGGAGCTTGCCGTCAAAATACCACTTCCTCACTTGCCCAAAAGACCCAGGAATACAGGTTAATCAAATGGAACCTTCATGACAAACGGACCAAAAAGAAGTGAAAACCAAAACAATTCCAAGGCCGGCTTAGAACAAATGAGCTTCTGGTTGTTGCCGCCGTGGCAGGTGTGCATGTAGACCCTCGCGGTGGAGGGGTCATAATCCAGGCACGCGCTATCTCCGCGGGACTCGACATGAATTTCCTCGCTGCTGAAGTACCACCGCTGGTTGCCTGTCCGAGTTCAGCCCGGATCAGGGCTGCGAAGGGAGAGCAAAGGATTGTACCGTGTGTTCTTTGAAGGGCTCAGAGAAGTGTTCTGTTGGCCACAAGCTGCATCAGACGAGGCACTGGATTTGTGGCAGTTGCTGTTCATGTAAGCCTGGGCGAGAGGACCACACTCCGGTGGCAAGGGGCGGCTATCGCTTGGCCGTGTCTCACACAAACCTGACTCATCCTGGACTGTTGAGGCCAGTGCGATCAATCCGCCTGACATGAATGGATACATGTCAAAGCTTGCAAAAAACCAGAGCCTTTCCTAGAACCTTCTTACAATTTCGGATGTGTTTTCCGCCAGAACGAACATGTGTAGTCACATCTTGTCACAATCTAAAAAGAATCAAACAACAACTCAATGCGCGGAATGACCGGATTCCAGACTTTGGGCTGATTTCTGCCCCAGGCGCTGTTGCGCTATTTTCGTCCCAGTCCATGCAGGAGTCCTCATAGTCGGACTTGAATAACTTGCCCTGCGAACAGTCCAATCATGCCGACGTCACACGAAGTTTTAAATCTGATAGATCACGAAAGGCTGGGCACCTTGATCATGAAACCTAGTCAGGAAGCCAAACACCTATGCAATTGTAGAATCCTCCGTGCCATTTCAGATTCATCATGACGCAACAGAAGAAAGGACTTTGCTGGACCTGTGACCCATTGCCTTTCGATGTCGATGACGTTGCCACTGAATAACAAGATCTACGACGCGCGGAGGGCACGGAGCACTCATAAGCGTGCAGGAACGCGCGCGTGTCTGGAGCGCCCGGAGCACAGAGTGGCTGCAGCGCATGCACCGCGGGCCCGAGCCCAGCACGGTGCGCTTGGGGCGGCGGGGGTAGGGCTTGGGGGCGCAGCACGGAGGTTGATTTTAAGCCCAAACGCATTCTATTTTATTCACGTAACCCCCCTCCTCAATTATTTTTTTAAGGTAGGGGGGTTTGCCAATCATGTAAACTTACAAGCCATATGTACAGGTCGCCAAATGTTTGTTGCATGGATCGTGATCTGAAAGGAAAAACGTGACATGCAAATGGACGTCACCGTAGATCCTGTCTGTTAATATCAAAACTGAAGTTGTCATCGGCGCGTCTTCCTCAAACTGTAGCTGTATCACCAAGATCCGCACTGAAATGTCGCCACCTTATCATTGTGCCACTGGCTTGCTGAGGGGAGGTTGGGGCTTCTAGGGCGGCTTCGCCGTCGCAAACCAGCAACTCGTGTGAGTCATGGCATTGAGCCGATTTTTTGCCCCAACTGGTTTTTTTGGCCAGACCAAGGATATGAAATGGAGGCCGAACACCATGTTGGGCCGACAAAAACAATAGGCCTGCATCACAATATCCTTGCCATTTAGGTCATCTTAAAACGGCGATAAGAAGACCACCCGTTTTCAACAGGAGCTGGCGGAATATCCGCCATCACATGCCAGGCATTAGGCGGTTTTTGCTTGGCCTTATCCGTATGCCTGGCTGATCAGAGCATTGTTCGACATAATACCCTCACCTCAACATCTTGACAAAAGGTCGATCCGTTCCAAAGACTCGCCTGACAAATCAAAAGCTGTTGCCAAGCAAGTGCAACCCGTTTAGCGATCTGGCCTTCTCGATAGGCGCGTGGAAGTACCACTTGAAGAAATCACTGCTCGAATCGCCTGAGGAAATCATGGTGCGACCCTCCAACACATCTCTCAATGGCTCAATTGCACTCAGCGCTCCGAAGCCCGCGCGGTCTTTTGTGAGGCGACCCTTTCTGGGATAGGGGTTATGGAATGCGTTTTCCTCCATGCAACTGGTTTTCTTTGTGTTTTTAGACAAATTTCAGTTTTGTATCCGGTGTGTGTATTGGACCTGCGTTTTGCCTTGCGCGTGTTTGCATGGGCTGTGTTGCGGGCTAACACTTGCTGTGCTACTCCATGTGCGAATCAGCTTCTCTGCTCACAGGGTGTCTCAGCTCGCTGCGTGCGATGCGCTTGTGAAGCCTGTGCCCCGTAGATTATGTTCAAATCCTCACTGGAACTGTCAAGTCCTATTTGGCAAGAAAACCTATCTGTAAGTTGTAAAGCTATAACAGGAATTCTGTCTGGGGCTGGACGTTCTACATTTGAAACAGAACAAGACAATTTCGTTCTTATGGAATTCTATGAGCATGTCTACTTAAATCAAAAACTCAATTTTTGGTTGGAAAGGGAACTCCTGTTCCACTTCTCACTTTGAACAAGAGTTGGATACTGAATCCTGTAGGGAGAGGATGAGCAATCCAGGTGAAAACTGATCCGCAGCTACTCAGCCACTCAGCCACTTGGAGTGACTCAGCCACTTGAAGCGGCTGCCCCCCAGCCACTCACAGCCACTCAGCCACTCGGACTGGCTGAGGGGCTAAGTGGCTGAGTGGCTGGGCTGAGTGGCTGAGTGGCTGAGTGGCTGAGTGGCTAAATGGCTGAGTGGCTGTGGATGAGTGGGAGTGTCTTTTGTGTCCGTTTGCTTTTCTACGTTCAAAGTAGCTGGAAAACATTGCAAAAAGACACTTTGACAGTGGCTCATATAGTTCACTAAAATGGGTGTCTGAATGGGGCTGACTTCTCATACAATCGACTTCCTTCTAACCTGAACCTACGCTGAAGCAGAAATTGTCACTGAGGGGGTTAACACATCCAGCTTTGCTAAACATATGTCAAATCCAGGGGCTTTTCTTGCCACAGCAGGCCCCCAAATGTTCTTTGTAGCGGTTAGGATCAGTTCGAAGGCCATGTGCTTATACAGCGCCTGTCCACTTCAGCGGGCATCCGGCTTGAATTCGAGCTCAGACCAATCCATCACAAAGCAAGCCAGCCAGATCGCCACGGCGATTAACACAAAACATGTATACGATCTCCGATATGTCTCATGTGTCATGTGACAGAATGGCATGACGGTCACGCTCGAGAGGTAGGCCGCTGCACTAAAAAAACTACACATATTGGAAGGACATGCGCTTTAAAGGTCTTTCTTGGTACGCAAAAAGAACAAGGACTTGGGTAACGAGACTATTGATTTAAAACTGAAACGTTTTAAGACTTGTGAGAACTGGATACTGTTCTTTTGTCCCATTACGGCTCACTTAAAACCAATTGTGACTGTGAATAGAACTGAAGTTTTTACTGTTCAAACACAAGTGTCACATGGTCAGTTACCAAACCCTTGTTTAAGGGCAATGTCTTTACTCTTGATGATAGTTTATATGATGAGTATGCGAAAAGTCTAGAAACTGGATATCTTCCGATTACTGTTGACACTGGAACCATGCAATAACAAACTGCCTCAACATCAAGCGAAGTATTCACAACTATTGTTCGCAGTGTATCTAAATCACATAAGTTGTTTCTTTCCTTTTCAAACACTACACCAATTTTTACAGGAGGTTATGGAGACCGTTAGGCGTTAAAACACTTGACAAAGGCTTTTATGAACCTGCAAATGATTTGTCGGCTTCCTTGGTAATCGGTAATCAAGTCAGACCAAGTCAAGAAATTCAAGGTGTTCGGAAAGCATACGTCCATCTTACGCATTGCACTAATAAGCCCATGTTGGTTAGCGCAGAAGATGATAGGTATCATGCGTTTATATTCGGCTTTAATCTTCACAAATTAGAGAGTGCCAAAAAAACTGGAATGAGCCTTGTTAAATAGCCGTAAATTCACATACTACAGAAATATCAGATTTACAGAATGGAGGTTCATTTAACAAAGCAGATTGTCACATCAACTAATAACTTGCTGTCAAGTTAGCTACATCAATACTGAAAAACACGGTAATACATATTTCAACAACCACAGCAGTAGTGAAAATGGCGGAGATTGGAGACTATAAATATTACCACGAAGCATGCAGTAATTATATTGATAGTTTTGTTTATGGAAGAGTAACAGGTTCAACGATGTTTTTAAACCAACTAGGTTTTGGAGATATAGAATACAGGTAAGCGGGAGTTTTCTTGTTCTTCTATTTTAGATATTACAGGTTCCGATGCCCGTTATGTTTTACAACAATGTAGCAGGATTAACACTACGAAATACAAATACAAACAAACAAAAACTACTAACAATAAATCACAGGATACATCCCTAGGTCAAAAGTTAAATAGAATAGATACCAACGCTCAGCCAGTAGCAGTTACTCTTAATTTAGTGCTAATACAACTTTACATAATAATTTGAAAAACCTTACTACTGGGCGTATAAAATGTAATAAATTCAGCACTACACCTAGGTTCGGTTTAGGTTCTGTTGGTGTTAGTGGTTATGTTTTAAACTGTGCCGGACAAGCGAGGTATTGATCATGTTATTTAACTATAGTGTGAGTAAGACTATTTTTGCAGAGATAGTCATCTGTTGCAGTACTACTTCTTGGTGAGGGTTTTAAACTAGACCACGGTTGGCCCGAAAGCAGCACATCGCAAGCGAGGTCGGCCCAACGCTGCAGGATGCGTTCTTTTTCCCTACACGAAGCATTCGTGAAGCAAGCGCGAGACAGCACCAGGCAAGGTGCTCTGTGCAAGTTGCTCTGTGCAAGTTGCTCTGCGCAAGTTGCTCTGCGCAAGTTGCTCTGCGCAAGTTGCTCTAGGCAAGGCGCTCTGCGCAAACTGGTCGGTGCAAGTTGGTCTGCGCAAGTTGCTCTGTGCAACTTGTTCTGCGCAAGTTGCTCTGCGCAAGTTGCTTTAAAATGCAAGTTGCATCTTGCGACGCCCGCCCGCGGACCAGGGAGGAATCGAACCCGCGACCCGCCGGTTCCGGGAGCAGGCACGCGAACCACGAGACAACTCCCGAGGACCAGTTCGAACAACAAAAGTCGCAAAAAACCTCGAGTTTTTGCACCTCAACCACGCCAATCCCCGCAGAGGGTCGCGCGGGAACTTCAGAAATCGCAAAAAACCATGGGTTTTTCCACCTCGACCACGCCGATCCCCGCAGAGGGTCGCGCGGGAACTTTAGAAATCGCCAAAAAACCATGGTTTTTGTACCTCGACCACGCCGATCCCCGCAGAGGGTCGCGCGGGAACTATAGAAATCGCCAAAAAACCATGGGTTTTTGCACCTCAACCACGCCGATCCCCGCAGAGGGTCGCGCGGGAACTTTAGAAATCGCAAAAAACCATGTGTTTTTGCACCTCGACCACGCCGATCCCCGCAGAGGGTCGCGCGGGAACTATAGAAATCGCAAAAAACCATGGGTTTTTGCACCTCGACCACGCCGATCCCCGCAGAGTCAAACAGAAATCGCAAAAAAAACCATGGGTTTTTGCCACTCACGCCGATCCCCCCGCGCGTCGCGAGCGTTAGAAATCGCAAAAAACCATGTGTTTTTGCACCTCGACCACGCCGATCCCCGCAGAGGGTCGCGCGGGAACTTAGAAATCGCAAAAAACCATGGGTTTTTGCACCTCGACCACGCCGATCCCCGCAGAGGGTCGATTTTCGTGTAGTGTCGTCGGCACTACCCCGCCGCCCTAAGAAGAGATTTTAACTCCTCGCAAGTCAATTGCACTTGACTCCTTGCACTTGCAACTTGCACTTGACTCCTTGCTTGTTTCAGTCATTGGAGTCATTGCAAGGAGTCATTGCAAGGAGTCATTGCAAGGAGTCATGGCAAGGAGTCATTGCAAGGAGTCATTGCAAGGAGTCATTGCAAGGAGTCATTGCAAGGAGTCATTGCAAGGAGTCATTGCAAGGAGTCATTGCAAGGAGTCATTGCAAGGAGTCATTGCAAGGAGTCATTGCATTGCAAGGAGTCATTGCAAGGAGTCATTGCAAGGAGTCATTGCAAGGAGTCATGGCAAGGAGTCATTGCAAGGAGTCATTGCAAGGAGTCATTGCAAGGAGTCATGGCAAGGATTGCAACTTGCACTTGACTCCTTGCACTTGCAACTTGCACTTTCCTTGCACTTGCAACTTGCACTTGACTCCATGCAGCTGCAATGCATGACTCCTTGCAATGACTCCTTGCAATGACTCCTTGCAATGACTCCTTGCAATGACTCCTTGCAATGACTCCTTGCAATGACTCCTTGCAATGACTCCTTGACTCCTTGCAATGACTCCTTGCAATGACTCCTTGCAATGACTCCTTGCAATGACTCCTTGCAATGACTCCTTGCAATGACTTTCATGATGATGATTCCTTGCAATGACTCCTTGCAATGACACCTTGTAATGACTCTCATGAGAACAACTCAAGTGAACCCAGCGGAAGAACCCTTCGCCATGCTTTCGGGAATGAACAAGGTTAAACAATAAAACACAATGTGTAAGCCTTGAAAGTGTAAAAAGAAAGGTTAAGATAACTACCTCATCGAAAAGCAGAAAATATTGAATAAGATGGTTAAGTTGCGCTTGTTCAATTTCAAGCTTGAACCCTGGAAGGGGCTACCCTGCCCTACACGCCCCTTTATAAATTGAGGGCGGGTCGGCATGGGGGCTGCGTTTTTCAGATTCCTGGGGGCTGAGTTTTTCAGATTCCTGGGGGCTGAGTTTTTCAGATTCTTGGGGGCTGAGTTTTTCCATTAAAAACACTAAAATACCAAAATATAAGATCAAGACCCGTGACCTCTTAGATTTATTGGGGTGCGTTTTTTTGGCTGATGACATGCAAGCACAGATTCATTTTCGATCCAATGAAG